TAAAGAGGTGCCCTGGTGAGCTGCAGCTCCATCTCAGGGCTGGCTCTGTGATCATAAAGCAATGCCCTGGTGAGCTGCAGCTCCATCTCAGGGCTGGCTCTGTGATTGTGGAGCTAACCCTTGCCCTGTTCTTTGACATTCAAGAAGGTATTCTGCCATTCTCTAGCTGTGACGAAGTATCATGGTGACGGAATAAATACGAATAATGACGGAATTAGCCAGGTCACCCTAACAGAGCTCACAGACTTTCTTTATAGAGGAAGTCATCTTGTGTAACTTACAACTATCTTCAGTTATTCCTACAGTAAGATGTTGGGATAGTTGAGTGATCTATTGTTAAGCAATGAAAGAAGAAAACACTGTTGGAGGAGCAAGTGCCTGGGAGAAACCAGACGGGAAAATGACCATTATGGCCTCGGCCACATGGAGTTCAGCCGGGGAGAGGTGATTTATTTGCAGAATAAATTAGTAAACCTGGGAGATATGTAATTCATTTTGGAAAACTTTTTTCTTTGAAACAGATTCTCTCTGTCTCCCTGGCTAGAGTGCCATGGCGCCGTCATAGCTCACAGCAACCTCCCATTCCTGGGCTCAAGTGATCCTCCTGCCTCAGCCTCTTGAGTAGCTGGGACTGCGGGTGCCCGACAGAAAGCCCGGCTATTTTTCCTATTTTTAGTAGAGACAGCATCTCATTTTTGCTCAGGTTGGTCTCTAACTCCTGAGCTCAAGCGGTCCTTCCTCCTTAGCCTCCCAGGTGGCTAGGATTATAGGTGTGAGCCACTGGGCCCAGCTGACAAGCGTTTTTTTCAAAACTGGTCAAAAGTAAATGATAAAACAGAAGTCTGTTTCAATGCTGTCAAACTCATTTTTTGTGGAGCACCAGATTTGTAGATGAAAAGGGCAGTTGAAAACCAGATTTTAAATGTCATCTGTTGGCCTTGACCTCTCCCTACACTGTCCTCACACAGGGGGGGCTGGCAGCAGGTTGCATGTGCAAAACCAGGCTGGTCTCTGCTCCTGTGAGGTCCAGTGGGAGCCCTTCCCAGGCTGTCCCTGGTGTCCCCTCTCACTCACAAGAAATTACCTGCGTCTGAAATTACCTGATTTCCAGAAGTTAACTTACACATTTCTTTCAAAGAATATGAATAAAGTGAGGCTCACATGTTATTTGTACTGAGTGGCCCAGCAAGAGTTGTATAGATTCTCTTCAGAAGCTTTGACCTCTAGAGGCTAGAGACCAGAAAGGGTCCCACACAGAGGGGTCAGGGGAAGGAAGTCTTTCCTTGCCTTCACTGGTAATCGTCAGTTCTTTGCTGATGATCCTTGGAGTATTGCCTGTTACAGAAAAAAAGTGATGTCTGTAAGAAAATAAAGTAGAGCCTCTGTAAGTTGACCACTCACGGGACTGTAACAAACTGGTCAACACACGGAGGTGTCAACATACGGAGGTGTCAACATAAGGAACTGGGCTGTGGTGCCTGTCAGGTGTGCGAGAATCAGGTCAGCTATGGAGGTCCCACTGTGTTCTCAGGGCTGTAAGAGCTCAAATTTTGCTACAATCAGGCCTGGTTTGATTTCCCTTGAGCCATTTTCAGGTCATGTCACTTTAGGAGAGTTGCTTTTATGAGACCTCAGTTTTAGCTCTGAAATGGTGATAATGATAATATCCATCTTATGCTGACCCTCTAAGGGGTGTTCTGAAGATTTAATACCATAAAACGTGTAAAAGTCCAAGCTTATTGCCTGAGACATGGAAAATGTCTAATTGATGCTCAGTCTCCCTCTTTAGACTATTTGGATAAATTTTGCTTTTGCTCACACAGAAAAAAAGCCCGAGCCATTTGGGCTGCTAGTCACAAAAGGCAACCTTTTAGATCTTTTGGAAATGTTTTCAGTGTCTGTGCCCACCACTGAAACTATTAATTTCTGATATGCTTACAGACCCCGCCAAGCTTTTCCTTGTCGACCGGTTCTTGTATGGGAAAGAAGACACTGATGTGCTGGTCCGCTGTCCTCTGACAGACCCCGAGGTGGCCAACTACTCTCTCACGGGGTGCCAGGGGAAACCTCTTCCTAAGGACCTGAGGTTTGTTCCCGACCCCAAGGCTGGCATCACAATCAGAAGCGTGAAGCGTGCCTACCACCGGCTCTGCCTACACTGTTCTGCTGACCAGGAGGGCAAGCCAGTGCTGTCGGACAAATTCACTCTGAAAGTGCGGCCAGGTACTGGCCCTTCCTTACTCTGCTCTGGGGGTCGGGAGTCCAGCCCTCTAAAGAAGCCGTCACTCTTCTCCCACTCAGTTGGGAGCTGCCTCATGACTCGATCCCCCGGCTTTAAAATAGTGTCATCTGCATGGGAATTCTTTTTCTTCTTTCTTTCTCTTTTTTTGGAGACAGTCTTACAGTGTTGCCTTGGGTAGAGTACTGTGGCCTTATAACTCTGAGCAACCTCAAACTCTTGGATTCAAGTGATCCTCTTGCCTCAGCCTCCCAAGTAGCTGGGCCTACAGGTACCCACCACAATGCCTGGCTAGTTTTTTTTTTTTTTTTCAGTAGAGACAGGGGATGAGGAGTCTCCCTCTTGCTCAGTCTGGGCTTGAACTCCTGAGGTCAGGCGATCTACCCACCTCAGCCTCCCAGAGTGCTGAGATTATAGGTGTGGACCACCACGCCCGGCCTGTGTGTGAATTCTTTACAGCCCCAACCCCATGTGGGGTCCTTGATTCCCTCTAGCAGAGGTGGGTGGCCTGCCCTTGGTTGGCTGGCATTTACACTGGGCTGACTTCGGTTACTCTAAAGTGTCATGATTTCCCCTAGTATTCCATCCAAAAGAGACTCATTGGGAAGCTTTAATTACGCTGGCTGCGAGGATTAGCACACAGATTATGCATTCTTTAATTTATACTTGACTTTAGCCAAAAGTCTGAGAAGTGATCTTTGATTTACTATTGACATGGTAATTGACTTTCTCTTCAGCTGATTAATTTCAACTCATTCTCAAACTGCTTGAGATCTGAGAAGGAAAGTACCAGTTGACATGGACCTTGTTATTACAGTAGTGTTGCATAGGAAGTTTCGTTAGCTAGAAGCTAATCTAGGTTTAATGTCTCAGAGATCACCTGATTCAACACCAGCTGGCATTCAGCTATTGGGTACAGTCTTTATTAAGGCTTTTGACAAAGTATACTTATTGGAACTAAGGAAAATTTGATTATTTAAAACTTGGGATTTTCAGAAGCAAGCAAGGTGGTATTTTTCACAGTACATGGGAAAGATGCCTATTTGGTTAAAAGAATGCAGTAACTTGTAGGTCACATCCCCATGACACCATTCCCTGTGCTGGGGTTTCTACCTGTTTTGAGGAAGCGTTTTCTAGCAGTATTATGATCTCCTGGGGACCAACCCCGTCTTTTTCACTCAATATTAATGAATTTATTTGACAGGTACATGATTTAATCGTTTCTTCAGACACACAAGTAATTCAGGTGAGGTAGGTTAGTGCCACACTTTGTATTTTATTTAAAAGGTGACAGATAAGCTATACTGAGAAATGGAAGTCAAAATTTCATGCTATAGTAGAACCTATTATTTGAAGGCCGTATTTCTTTTTTATTCTAGCCTTCAAAGCTGTACCAGTTGTGTCTGTGTCCAAAACAAGAGCCCTTCTTCGAGAAGGGGAAGAATTCACAGTGACATGCACGATAAAAGACGTGTCCAGTTCTGTGGACTCCGTGTGGATAGGGGACAGTGGTCAGGTGAGTGAGTTGTTACATCAATAAAAGCCATGTCCAGTTCTGTGGACTCCGTGTGGATAGGGGACAGTGGTCAGGTGAGTGAGTTATTACATCAGTAAAAGACATGTCCAGTTCTGTGGACTCCGTGTGGATAGGGGACGGTGGTCAGGTGAGTGAATTGTTACATCAATAAAAGACGTGTCCAGTTCTGTGGACTC